GGGGGGGTGTGTGCGATTTGTGTCGAGCTCACTGCGAACAGAAGCTGAAATTCTCTTAAATAAAGGCACTGCCACATAGAGTGAGGCGATGAACTGGTTGTTTCCTGCCCACTCATCCTTCCCAGGTTTGGATCCAGACACATAATCTGTTTCCAATGGCAAGACCTACCCCTCCCGGAAAAGGACGAAGGAAAACTTTGCTAACAGGCTTTATTTCGTATGTCTAACCCTTGGGGTGTGGAAGCCGCAGCTGAGGACCCCGCAGGTGCCAGAGCGGGTTTCAGCTCCCGAGGCGAGGGGTGGGGTGCAGTTTTAGGAGGGAGGGCAGGTTTCTGAGGCACAGGAGGATGCAACATGCTGGGCCAGATGCTTCCCTGCAGCAGTTGAGCCCCACCACCCCTTCCCAGGGCTGCGGGTAAGGGTGGTCCCACCCAGAGGGTCCTTCTGGCCCCAAAAGAACCCTCAAGTCGTGCAAACAAACAAACAAGTGTGCAAACCTTAGCTGCTGCCGACCCATGGTCCTGCCCGGTGGCCTCAAGCTCTTCTTCCCTGCACAGCATCCCACCGGCCCCGGGAACTTGAATTTCAGGGCCTTCTCACAGAAGGTAAAAACTTTTTTGCTCCACGAAACGCGGTGGGAAATTTTCATGCTCGGTCGGCGAATGAAACTGTTGAGGGTGGTGAAACGGCGATGAACTTTCAGCAGTTTGGGGTGGCAGGGTCATCCCTGGGTCACACATGTCCCGCTCTGAGTCAGGCTGATCTCTGCTGCTTTGCCGGGGCGGTTTTTCCCTGGTGAGGTCTGTGCCACCAGGGCTGCCTGTGATCCAGCAGCCGCTGGTGGCTTCCCAGGCTACTGACACCCCCCAAACTTGCAGGGAAGTTGTTTCCCTGGAGCCCCTCTGGCTGCAGCCTTGTCCCCACTGAGGGACTCAGTCACGGTGCTGTTTGCTGCCATTACCCCCTCTTCCGTCTGCTGGGGGCCAGGCCTCCTGGGGCTCCTCTGTCCCTCTGCCCTGAGGTTTTAGCTGGATTTATCCCACTGAAATCCGTCTTGTGCCTCACTAAGGAGTCCTTGGCCTTCAGCTGATGCTGTCTCCCCTGAGGGTAGGTTTCCCCAAAGGCGAGGGGTATTGCCTCCCCTGCCGCACGGTCCCTCACACCACCTATGGGATGTTGCCTGTGCCTGACCCATAGCTCCAGCAGGACAGTCACTGAGCAGTTTTTGGAAGTCCCAGGAGAGGCTAGGATCTTATATGTCTCCCCTCCCGTGTCTTTAAGGCCATTTCTTCACAGATGTTCCCAGTTTTGGGTTGCTGTCTACTGTGCTGTCCCTTTTCTTTGAAGGAGCAGCTCAGCTTGTCTCCGCTCTGAGCATTGCGTCATTACCATGAGATCCTTCATTTTGGTTCCTAGTCCCCATCTCAGACTTCTGAGAGCCAGAAGTGTGCCAAGACCCCACATTTCACCCAGGCCAGACCTTCCCGCTGGCCTAACACACCCAACTTACGCAAAGGCTGGGAGCCATGCCATAGCGGGGAGGGCCACGGCAGTAGCTTCAGGTTGTCATTGATTCGCTGTGGTGAAGGGCTCGAAGGCAGCTGCGACTGCGGTGCAAGGAGTCACGTAGCATGGCGCCAGCCTGCTTGTGGTACAAAGAGAGGAAGCTGGGAGAGCCGATGAGAAACTTTCACTCTCTGCAGGCAAACCTGCCTGACTGATGCCTGGAACAGAGATGTGTTTATAGGAGCTCCTCTTCCAGACAGTAGAAAAATGATGGAAAAATGTGTGAGCACGGTGATAGGTGCTGCAAGAATCATTGAGGTCACAGTAGATAAACTAGCCCAAAACCAGAACCATCGATCTGAGTTCAGTAGGTGCAAACCCACCATTTCCAAGTATGATCTGGATCAATTATCCATCATTCAACTGACCAGACACTGTAGTCCCAGCACACCCAAGTGCTGCCTATTTTCTCTAAGCCTCCTGGGCCTTATGTGTTTTGAAACCGTATGTTTGAACTTCAGAGTGTCCCAGTGACATTGCAAGGACTAATAGAGAGGATACCACTGTCTCGTGGCAGCTGCACACGCTCCCCACAGCAGAATGTTGTGCCATGCATGCCAAGGCCAATTCTTGGGGCACCGACCAAGATACAGGTGGGTTAAGACCCTACATAAGGCAGCACTAGGGCTGGGAGAGACTTGCCCCGAGCACCAAAGAAAGGAGGAGATACTGTCTAGTATGGATGGCTAAACATGGCTTATTGGAGATGTACACAGAGGCTTCCAACAGCTGCAGCCTCCCCTGCAGAGATGTATAGCAAGGTACGCTCACTTACATGTGTGCTGCAGGTCCCTCGTACTGCCGGCTAGGCTTTGCTGGAGACTGTCCCAGCAAGAAGCCTCAGCGTGGAGCAGGGGCTGCTGCTGCTGCTGCTGGAGTGTGGGGACAGGAAGCGTCACAGCTTCCACCCCAGCAGGAAACAGAAATAACTGATGAAAGAAGCGATGACTGGTTGTGATGGGGCCTGCTGTCCTCCTGACCCCATTCGGGTGGCCCCAGCAGCTCAGGTGCACATTTACCACATGCCGTGGGGCTGGGACTACAGATGCAAACTCAGAGGTGACCTGTGAGGAGTGCCTGCAGCTGACACAGCGCTTCTCGCCCTCCCACAGACACACAACATGGCCCAGGCATACAGGCCCCGCCAGGACCCGGGGAAAACCAGATGGGAGCCCCACGCTGAAGAACAGCGCTGCTTGGTGTCGTGGATGACAGTGAGAGGAACTGCTGTCCTTGAGGCTGCTTTGGTTTTACCTCTGAGGGGAAGCAAAGGCAGACGAAAGTGTCTCTCAGCCATGGGGCCTGGGGGGGGCTTAGCTGCTCCAAGCCACCAGGACACGGTGATATTTCCTCTAGCCTGGGGAGCGGCTCCTTTAGTGCTTATTTAAGGATCTCCGCTGTTGCTCTGTTGTAATGTACAGACGTGGCCCTTCTCCACCAGCATGACAAACTATTTTCTATTGTCCTTATTTTGTAAAATTTGTTCCTGCTTAGAAGTAGATCATACAATCATCTGATTTATCTTCCAGACAAAGCTATCTCTACAAGGCAGAAAAGGGACACACATTTGCAATGATACAGAACTTTATTTTTTTAATTCCTGAGGTTAAAAAAGGGGGAAAAAAAGCATCAACATTCCAGTACACAACCGTCTACATTTCTGTAACTGTACAGACGCTGGTATACATAAATCTCTTTTTCCTCTATCTGGAGCATGAAGTTTGACGTGAACAGGGTTTGCAATTCTTTGGCAGTTGAGACCAAAAGATGGTTCTGAACAAGTTACAATTGTAACTCAGTGATTGAGCATATTAAAACCATGGTACAATTTCAATTTAAAAAAAGGAGCAAAGTCAGGCTTTTGTAGCTCTGCTATTTTATAATGTGGTACAGTCTTGTGTAACACATCTCTGTGATTTTTCATAAAGCAACATTGAGTAACATTGAGTAAAAG